GGGAAGGGGGCGCGCACGGAGACTCCGGAGGCACCGGTACACCGCGTGACCGCCCGGAAGCCTGTGCGCGGGCACAGAGAGCCCCCCGGCCGCGAGCAGGGGTCGGGCCGCAGCGTCGGAGCCTCTAGGCTCTGGGCTTGGGGTCCCATAGGGCTGTCCCCAAGGCCGGATGGGGTGGGGTGTTCTCCGGCCTCACCTTGGAGCTGCTCACAAAGCGGACTTCCACGGAGACCCGGGCCCGGCCCGCCACGCCCACGCAAAAGGAGAACACGTCGGACATGGAGGCCGCCATCTTGGGCGCGCCTCCTCCTCCTGACCCTTGACCCCGACCCGGGAGGCCCCGCCCCTCCTGGCCCCGCCCCTGGTGTCCTGTTGGCTGCCGGGGTTTACCCGCTCGCGAATCCGCACTTGGGTCCGTTTGGTCTGTGCTTCGGTCCGTCGGTTTGCTGACTGGGTGGGGCTGGGCCTGCCTTGTGCTTTGACATCTCTGCAGTTTTGTGTCTGTCTTCGTGGCCAGTGTGTTTCTGTATCAGAGCCGGTGCGCTGTGTAGTTTTGATGTGTGCATCTGTGACTGAGTTCAGGTTTGTGTGTCTGTCCATTCACTGGCCCGTCTTGACTCCAGCAGTCTTTGGACCCAGCCGAGGGGTAGGACAGCAGCGGGCAGAGTTACTCCTGTCCTTCCTGGCCCTCAACCAGAAGGGAAGGACCAGCTTGCTCCACAAAGCCTGGCACAATCCTTCTCCCTGCCCCTCTGCCAGCAGGGCAGACAGTCCTACGAATGGTGAAGTTGGACTTATGCCTGTCAGCCTCTTTAGCAGCTCAGGGAATTTGCAGCTGGGGTAAGGAGTGGGAGTGGAGAGGGGTCCATAGTGACCTCAAGTATGAGGTCCCCTAAAATATATGCAGAAATGAGTGAGTGTACATATGCACATTGTCCTGACAACAAAAGAGGCAGATGAGATTCAACTGGGTTCTTTGATTAATAGAATTGACTTTGGGTCCAACATTAGGAAGATTTCCCTGAAGATAGGTACAGAGAAGGGTTCTTGGAGCTGGATGCTGGCCTCCCTCAAGCCTGCAGCCTAGTGTCCAGAAGAGGATAGTCCACTGCCTTGGGAAACAGGTGGTTTTCCAAGGCTGACTCGACTTTCCTCTCTCAGAAAACTCTTGAGAGCAGCAGGGACGGTGCCCTCTTTCATCACCAGGTGGCAGGGCAGGCCTCCTTCCACCAGCTCAAGCACTCAGATGCCACTCTAGATTCAAATGAAATACCCTTAACAGAGGACCATCCAGGAATGTGGAGAGCTAGAGAGAAATCAACTCTGGAAATGCTGGTGGCCATCCTCACTGAGGTAGGCTACCAGTTAGGCTTCTTAGGGATAAACCAAGCAGATTCCTGGGAAAGAAAGGGAACCATGAATCAGAGTCATGAAGAGAGGTAAATAGTAACTGTCTCATGAAAATTCAGCAGAGTTTTTGATAAGATGCCAGCCTTGGCAAAGGCAGAGCCAAATTTCTCTCTATAAAGATGGGAGGGGGGGTTAAGGTGGGTAGCTAGAGAGAAAGATGGGGGTCAGGGTAGCATGTCTGCTTCAAGGAGGCAGCTGGGCCTGAGCTCCTTCTGAGAGTGGTAATAGTTCAGACAAAACAAGAAAACTTTGGGGAACCCCGTGAGGGGAAGTGGGCTAAATAAATGGCCTACCCTTCCCTCTTTTTTGCTGTCAACTCTACCATTTTTCTTGGAGAAGAGTCTTCTATGCCCAGACATTGATTCAAGGAGGCCCTCTCTCCTCCACAGCCAGGCCAGGAAAAGATTAGTCCCTGGAGAAGCCAGGGCTGGTACAGGCACCACTCCCCCAGGTGAAGGGGTCTATAAGCCTTAACAGTCGCCACACACTTAGCACTGGGCCTGGCCCACTGTAAGTGCTTTACAGACATCATCTTAGCCCTGGGAGGCCTAAGTGAACATACCCATTATACAGGTAAAGAAAAAAGGCTCAGAAGTTCAGCAGTGTGGCCAAGGACATAGCTGAAGGCCAAAGTCTGTGCACCTGACCATGACATTATTGCAGCTCCCAGGAGTCAATATTGAAAAGTTCTCAACAGTTCAGATTCCTCTGGTGTTCTTTGATCCCGATGAGGCTCTTTGTTAAGATGTGGGGCAGGGAGGTCCAGTGAGTGTCCCCAAGAAGAGCTAGCCCAGATAGCCTGGGTTGAGCCTCCATCCCAGTCCTCAGCTGCCCACTCCTGACCCAGCATTTTCTCTCTGGATGATGGTGTCAGAGCTGCTGGAGGGCTCGTCTGGGGAGGCAGCCATGGCAGATGCAGCTGGTGGTCTCAGCCTTTGCTGCTTTTGATACTTAACCCTGCGGTTTTGGAACCAGACCCTCACCTGTAATTGGAGGCAGACGGCAGATATCAGAATGTGACCAGCAGTTCCCACTGCTTCCCCCCATTCCCACAGTACCCACTGCACTGTGGCCAAAATTTGCTCTTCCTTCTAAGGGAAGCATTGCCTCCAAAACATCCTTCCCTATAATTCCAGTTGCTATTCATTCATCTATTCATCCAACAAATCTGTATTGAGCTCCTATTATGTACTAGACACTACCCTAGGTGATGGTGATATAGTGGTGAGTAACAGAGGCATGGTCCCTGCCCTCAGGAAGCTCAAAGTCTAGTGGAGAGAGACTAATAATAAGCATGAAAACAAACAGATAAACACAAATCGGGGTATAAACAGGGGTTTTAGTCTCCCTGAGGAACCAGCATTTAAGTCAAGGCTCAGAGGATGAGAGGCCAGCCTGGTGGAGGCAGATAAAAGCAGGCCAGGGCACAGATTGACTGGTAGGACGCCTCTGAGGTAGAACCAAGCTTGGAGTATTTGAGGACCAGAAAGGAGGAGAGCATCACTGGCACAACTGACAATGAGAGGGGAAAGTGAAAGGAGAGAGTGGAAGAGGGCAGCGGAGGCCAGATTATCCAGGACCAGGAAGGCAAGGAGTGTCAACTTCAAGGCTTTTAAGTGGAATGTGACATAGTCCTATTTACATGTTAAGTGAATGGTGCATCTGGCTGCTGTGTGAAGAATGGATGAAAGGAGATGCAGGGAGACAGCGGGGAGGTTCTTGCAGAGATATAGCAAGAGCTGGTTCTGATATGGACTGGGGCAATGGAGAGAAATGAAGCAATTCTAGCTGTGTTTTGGAGGTAGAGGTGCCAAGGCTTGCTGATGGATTGGTAGTGGGAGAGAAGGGGAAATCTAGGATGACTAGGTATTGGATGGATGGTGGGGCCATATGTGGGGAAAGGAACAGATCTGGGGAGGGGAAAAAAGTCAAAAATTGAGGTTTAGACTTGTTAAGTTTGAAATGCCTACCCATAAGACGTCCCAAGTGGAGACCTCAAGAGGGAGTTAGATGTACAAGTTAGAAAGGGAGAGGGGAGGGGCTAAAACACAAATTTAGGAGTCATTGGCTTCTCGATGGTATTTAAAGCCATGGGAATAAATGAGATCGGTGGGGGGGTAGGGGGAGGATTTGAAGTCACAAAGAGAAGAATAGCCTACAAAGGCAGCAGAGAAGATGTGGGCAGAGAGCTGAGAGGAAAACCAAGAGAGTGTGGTGCCTGGAAACCAAGAGAAGAGTGTGTTTCTCTAAGAAAGGAGCAGTCAGCTGTACTGAGTGGTGGAGTAAGATAAGAAAGGAAAGTATCTGTTGACTTTGGCCACACAGAGGTCGTTAGAGACCCTGATAAGACGTTTTGAAGGAATGAAAGGGAAAGAATTATTATTGGAATGAGTTAAGGAGTAGATGGGAAGTGAGGGCAAGGGGACAGTGAACATAGCCAGTTCTTGAGATGTTTGTCTGTGAAAAGAGCAGAGAAATGGTGCAGTGGCTGGAAGGGAGTATGGGGGTCTGGGGAATGTGTATTATTTTTAATATTTAGTTCTTTGAGTACCTACTTAATTTCACTGTCAGCTCCTTATTTAGCATGAAAATATAAAGTTCTAGATTAATATCTAGATTAATATTATGTGTTGTTCCCATAATGTAATTTCAAATGGGATTATTTTTCTTGTTCATAAAGGGAGTATATCAATAATTAGGCCTGTCTCCCCCAAGTGCCTGGCACAGAGGAAGAAAGCCCGTGTCTTCCTCCCAGCCACTACCCAGGGCCTTTGGAGAGCCATGTTTGTCCCCAGGTGCAGCCGAGGCCCCACAGGAGTCCCTGTTCCTACCTGGTTCTCTGTAAGACTGAGCCGGGCTGCCAGCTGGGCTCTGTCCTTTCCTACTAGATTGTGCTGTTTTGCAAACACTTTCTCCAACTCTTCCAGCTGCTCCAAGTTAAACATAGTTCGAACCCTCTTTTGTGGTCTTTCAGTGTCCTGAAGGTCCTTGGCCAGGGCCCAGTCTGGGGGACTCCAGAGGCCTGGGCAGTGAGCTAGCTCCAAACCTAAAGAGCAACCATCAGGAGGGGAGATTAGCCAGCACCCACCTACCCACCCATCTTGGAGGAGAGAGAACAAGTTCACAGCTCCACTGCCCTGCCTTGCCCTTGGCCAGGTAACACAGCAAAAGGTGTAGTGGGAAGAGACTGCACAGAAATAAAACAAGTGAGACGGAAGGGACAATGTTGTGAGACTCCTTCTGCCTCCACTTTTCTCCAGCTGAGTGGCTTTCCTTCTGGCCCTAAGAGGAGCTGCCAAACCTCCATCTCTCCTTGCCCTCCACTCCTTTCCTTGGCTACCCCAGGAACCCCCACAGGATGGGCAGAGAAGGGCCCCTCAAAGGTTCCCCCTTTTCATTCATTAAATACTTTTTGAATGTCTACTATGTGTCAGGCATGGTTCTAGGACAAAACAGAAAATCTCTATATAACAGTAAAAAAGGTAAAGAAAATATTGTATATATCAGACAGTGATTAGTGCTAGTGAGAAGAATAAATCAGGGAGGGACAGGGTGAGTGTGTGTGTGTTGGGGGGTGTTAATTTGCATCTTTAGAAAGGGAACCACCTTACTGAAGTGACATTTGAACAGGGCCACTGTGTACAGCTTGTGCCCTGCACGTGGGTACCCAGCTGAGAGGGTAAGTGGAGTCTGAAATTCTGCCCACTCTCCACAGGCTGGTCATTGCCCCCTGACAAGGCACTGTGTCTGCCTGAAGGAAGGGGTGACTTTTTCTAATGCACACAAGGGTGCTATTCAGTTCATGGAGGTTCGGGCAGGTAGAGATGAAGATCTGTCCACCAGGGGACAGTACCTGAGTTATAACTCTAAAGGAATGAGAAAATGAGCCATAGGGCAGTCTGGGAGGGGAGTGTTTCAGACAGAGGAACAGAAGTGCAGTGCTAGGACCTCTTGGATCCCATCAGCCTTGGGGAGGCTCCAGAGCTGGCAGACAAACTGCTCCACTGAAGGGAGTGAGGCTGGGACTGTGGGTGCCCAGGACACCAACCACTGGGCCCACCAGGCTTACCATAAGCATAAACATAATAGCAAGAGATGAGAAACAATCCATGGGGCCTGATTAAATAAATTATGACTCATCCTTACAACGGACCGCCCTGAGGTATAAAGAAGCTCTGTACAGATTGATATGGAAAAATCTCCAAGCTACATGGTCAAGTGAAAAAAGTAAGTTGCAGACCAGTGTGTCTACTATGGGTGAAAATGTATATGTGTGTATATTTAGGTATTAAATATGCATAAAATACTTCTAGAAGAATAAAGAAACTGGTTTCATTGCTTGCTTCTGGGGTGGAAGCAACTAGGTCGCTGGAGGTCAGCCACCTAGTGGTAGAGGAAATTTCTCCATCTATCTTAGTAAACATTTGACATTTGAACTGTGTGCATGTAATACCTATGCAGAAACTAAGTTGAAAATGAGACAGCTTTAATATAAAGTTGTTAACTTCAATTCAGACCTCAGGTGTGCGGGGAGGTTAGAAAAATGTGGCTGGATGTGATGGGCATGGCTCCCAGCTGCAGTGGCATGAATTTGGGTGGGGTTGGGAACCCAGGGTTCTTCTCCCAGCAGGGGTGGGAGGACTGCCCAACAGAAAGGGGTTGAGGAAACAGAAGATGATGGAAGCCCAGGGAGTAGAAACCAGTTAAGACTGTGTAACAACGATCTTAGTGTGGGTTGATAAGGCTTGCACTAACTTTCCTAGTTTTCCTCATGGAGACATGGGGAAGCATGAACCAGAGAGCCAAAAAAGGCAAAAGCTCTTTATAGGTGGATGTTAATGCAAGAGGAGAAAGCGAAATTCTCGTTGGGATTTAAGTGTCTGCGCTCCGGAGCCCTAAGAGCACTATAAGCAAGCAGGCTCAGAGGGGTCCGGTGTGGAGATAAACTCACACAGACGTGAGCAGTGGAGGCGGCGCTGGGGCCTGGGGGTGGCCGGCTCCTCGCAGCTCCCGGCTGAGCGGCACCTCCCGTAGCATCTGCTGCTCCCGGCTAAGGCTGGGCCTGGGGTCACTGTGAGAGCGGCTTTGGGGAATAATCTGCGCCACCCAGCGTTATCCAAAGGGGATGTGGGCAGGAGCAAAGGACTCTCTAAATCCCTCGCGGAGGACGCAGAGCCGGGGAGCAGGGCTGGGCCCCCGCCCTCACACGCCCCTTCTCCCAGCTCAGCACCTGCGGGAAGTCGGGCGCCGGGGGTAGTTCTCAGCGAGTCCTGGTCCGGGGCCTCCGTTTCAACTGCAAGGTCAAGGGTCATAGGGCCCCTTCCCACTGCAACCGTGTGCGGTTCTCAAACTCAGGGACTTCTCCTCTCTCCCGATTCCCTGGACGCGGGCGCCGGGCACCCCATACCTGTGACGCCGAGGCCCCGGAGGCCGCAGAGGTGAGCCACGCGCAGCCCCAGCGCAGGAGGCTCGGGGACCGGCCCGTAGAGACCCAGGCTCCGGGAGGCGGGCAGCAGCGCCGCCGGGCACGCCCAGGGCAGA